AGCAGCAGCAGCAGCAACAGCAAGAGGAGGAGCGTGAGCAGAACCAGCACCCACGGAGTGATGCAACATATTGATCAGCACGAGTCCTTTTGACATGACAGTGGTGAATGGAAAAGTCTGATCCAGACAGTCTCTTGCTAAAAGTGGTCCTCAGGCACACAGAATTCCGAGGTGAACCGAATTCTACCAACTCTACAGCCAAGCCCGAATCCGAATCCCTGCAATGTTGGAGTCTTCGAATCATGTGCAAGCTGGCTGCAAAATCTTGGATGTCCTCGACCTTGTCCAGAACGAAAATCATGAGAAACGAGACCACGGACAGGAAGAGCGCGATGGACTTAGTGTGGCTTGCTGCATGTATAGCTGCTAAGTGCCAGCTAGCTTCACACGCCTACAGCAGGGCGGCAAAACCGTCTGCGATGCCCGTCCGAACTCGGCCCTCCCCCCTTCCCTAGAAGCGTCCGCTTGCAAGCTGGGAAAGGCAACATGGGCTGACCTCACCACCACAACTTCTGTGCATTTTCTGGTGTACACGCTTGGCGCGGTAGTCCCAATTTCATTTTTTGAAGCGCTTGGTTTTGGCTTTCTGGTTAGCGAGCCATGAATGAATCAGCAGCAATTTCGTCAATCGCGTCATACAAGGCACCACAAGATGTGCCGGTTCGCATCATGTCACGGCCACAAGGCAGTTGCTAGCAAGCACTGTGTACAAGAGCTTCTTCTGTAAGCCGCCAGCCACCATCAGGAGAGCATTCTCCTGACCCCAAAGCTTCTGTTGCTTATAATGACCCTGCATTCATACTGCAACAATTGAGCTTTGTGACGCACTCTATGCAGGACAATGCAGAGCAGAGCGTGTCTGACATGCAATGAGAGCACACCCAAGTCAAAGAGCGTGAATGAAGCTACAGGGGTAAAACTGCGACAGTTCATGGGCACCAGGGCCTGCGATTCTTTGAAGCAAGTCAGGAGTTGTTTCTTGAGTGACCCTTTAAATGCCGGTTTTGGTCAAGTGTACGAGCGTTCAACGGGCTATCTGTTGCGGTTTGACGAATTGCTAGGGAGGGAGGTGACATGATCAATGATCATCAAGCTTGGGAATGCATCGGGATTCTTCGGGGATCGGGCTTGGAGGTGTCTGGCACTGTTTTGGAAAGACTGGCATGAAAGGTCATGAGGCTTGGACGAGGCCTCAGATACGGCACAGTCAATCAATTTAAGAATATGCAGGACAAGGTCTAAGTTGGGGGACTGCGAACACTCACCAGCCGCATCTGACTCATTGTCATATAGTCCGCTATTCAAACTGATTGTGACACTGATCCTCGTGTTTTCCTTTGAAAGGCCTTCCTGCCCGTACTGTGTCAACTCCTCACGTACCCATCAAAAGCGGCCCACGATCAACTACTTCCAACCCTCTTGGGATTTCGGAAGAACTAGCCTACCTAATACAGTACTAAACTCCTGGACAATGCCTAAACCCAACCTCCTAAGCGACACGGAAGCTATCTAGCTGTTTGGCGATCACATGTCCCTGACACCTTATGCATCGGCTTGACTTGACGTGGCACTGCCCTTACAGCACAGAATTTCATCTGGCGAGTGAGAGCAGACCACCGCTCATATGCAACTGCAACCCCCGGCGACCACTTTTCCGCATCTTTGTCACGTTCTTATTACCTTGCTCTATTCGGGGACGACCTCTTTACTAGCGTCTGGGCCCTTCTGAGGGGCTTCTTTGCTCTAGTCTGGATGGCTTGCTGCACTGCAGCATCAGCTTTCAGCTCGGGGCGCTTCCTTATTTCCTTTCCTTTCTTTCCTCTCTCCGTTTATCAGAAATTCGCCCCCTAGAGTGGCTTTCTGGCTTTTTGAGCTCGTAGGAGCCGCACTAGAGTTGACTGCTTGAAGCAACCCTTGTCACACCATCCCGTTAATTTCTTTTCCGGCAACACCGCAGAAATTTTACATTTCATCATGACTGCACCCCTGCGCCGCTACGCATTGGTGCTGCACTTGCTGCGATTTTATCAACCCTCCCGTCATCTGTGAACTGCGTAGCTGAGATTCCCCATCGAACCTTTGCAAGCCAGAATAGCTGCAAGTCAGCCACGGCATGTGCTCAGCAAACAACATGTGACATAGGCAAACGCCCCATAGAAGAGGCACCATGATAGACCTGTTCAGGGCACAAGGACATCTATGGAAGCGGCAATCACTTCCGAGTGCAGAGCCAAAGGTGAAATAATTGTTCAGGATCTCGATAACCCTTTCCATCCGCTGCGAGGTCTCCTACACTGGCCCATACTGGCCCAAAAGCTGCCGTCACTTGCAACAGGCTTCAGGTAGGTTATGTCCTCCAACAAGCGTTCTGCATTTACCACCGATAGCGAAAGCATGAAGAAGACCACGCCTCAGATCCAACAAAGGCGACAAATGCCCTGAGCAGGACCTGTCTGAGCTCGGAGCCGCAGCCCATCAGAATGTGACATTGCCTCGAGATCAAAAGTCAAAATTCCCAGAAACAAGCACATTTTGCAAGTAAAACTTGCCCTCTCTGCAGCTTCGAATGCCTGATGATTGCAGCTGATATGTGGCATGTGTACCAAGAAATGCACCCTGACGATGCTGTAGCTATTAGCAGCTTTGTCTTTTGCTGAGAAACGGGGCCTGCCATCCGAAAGTTTGCTGAAGCTTGTGTCTAGCACCTGTCTGGTCTGTCCTACATGTGGGGCATTCTGTCATCATGCTGGTAAAATCAGCACAGCGGTTGTTGGAGAATTCGGATGGGAACAAAAATTTGCGAAGCCTGGACGCGGGACATCGAAATCGCTCATTTTCAGTTGAGGGAGGTCAGATTTCATGTAAAAAGAGCCTCGCAGCAAATCCCTCTTGCGTTGGATTCGGGAACCCACTAGCGCTCAGGTTGGTGAAGCAATTATTTTTCAGGGGATAGATTGTCTATCTGACTGCTTGTCTTCTTCTGCCCACCACTCACCCAAAGGGCCTCTGGGCAGGACTACGAAGTCTTTTGAATGCATGTGCCTATGAGAGCTGGTCGGAACCGGTGGGCCTTGGTCGAGCTGCCCTCTGGACAGGACCGCTGGATGGATTCGGCTCAGCTCGGAGACGCATTCCTAAAAGAGTAGATGGTTGGTAATATTGGCTGTCCGGCGAGCAGCTCGGCCAAGGCTCGGATCGGTTCGGATCACCGCGGATAAGTTGGGATGTTCAGCACAAGCCTGCAAATGGCTTGGACACGTTGTTGATCAGCTCGGATCAGTCCATGCAGGATTTCCTACCGCAAGCATCTAGCCTTATGACTACAGATTCCCTACAAGAATGGATTCTCAAGGAAACATTATGTATATGAAAAATTGTGGTTTTCTATTGTTTTTCAAAACTACAATTTATGTTTTGTATGATTTCGAGGAATTCCTCAGTGTCGTAACTTCCTCGATTTATGATGTTTTATGATTTTTTAATGACTTTCTGAAAGGGTTAGCTCGGATCTTGAACGCTTGGCTTTCATCCATGAACCCTGTTTGCAACGTATTCTGCCAAAGGTCGGGGAGAGGCCTGGAGAGAGGCCCGACAAAGGCTCGGGAGAGGCCAGGGAGGCCGGAATGGCTCCCGGCTCCCTTCTCTCCGTATCTTTTTGCAGCCTCTTTTGAGCCTTTCCGACCTTTTTGCGACCTTTTGCGAGCCTTTTCTTCCGAGCCTCTCCCGGGCCTCCTCTAAGAGGGCTCTCGGGGGGCGGACTCGGGAACCTTTAAAATCCTGAAAAATCGAAAAATTCGAAAACACATTGTTTTTTTAACCATGAAAATTTATTTATGAAAATATGAAAATTCCATGAACATTTTATAGAGGCCACCCCCACCTCAGACCCCCGCCCCCTGAGCCTCTCCCCGATCCAAGCATTTTCAGAGGCTCCGAGAGGCTCGACAGAGGCCCGAGGGGCCCGCGAAAATACTTGAGAGGCCATTCAGGGAGGCTTGGGAGAGGGCCGGGAGAGGCCTGGCAGTGTCTCGGGAGAGGTTTCGACGGTTTCGAGAAAGGGCAACCGCCTCACTCACCGAGTCAGACAATTCCTGGCTGAGCTGAGAGTCTTCATTCACCTGTGCCCGACACCACAAGCACTTCCAGCTCTGCGGCTCTTTTTGCTCCATGCAGAATACATGTCACACTACTTGAAGCCACTGCTGTATGGCCTTCACGCTTGAATCAGAATAGGTTGCCGGAAAGACAAAGGCTGCCAGCAACTGAAACTAACCTGGAAATTGGTCCCTGAAAGAGGCTTAGAACAGTCGTAAAAGAATCATAAAACAATCATAAAACAGGAAACCGGAAATCATAGAATAATCATAAAATAATCAGAAAAAATGTGTGCGACCTCAAAGCTGATCCGAACCAATCCGAACCGTCGCCGAACTCTCCCGACCAGGAACGACCAGGCGCCCTCTGGGCAGGACCCCCACAAGCATTGTGAGTGTATGTGTCTGAACATCTGAAGTTGTATCGCATGAGAATGGCACAACTATACTGCGTCTGTACTACATCTATCTCGACCGCGCTTCTGATCATTGAATGCTCCACTCGCCACATATACCACAACAGCACAGCTCCACACATCATGAAATTTGGGAAAGCCATCCTACATGACCTACTGCCCCCGACGACACTTCTCCTGGGCGCAGCCTGGAGAGTTGGAACAGTTGAAATAACATGTGATGTTTGCGTCCCTACAGTTACAGGACCAGCAAACAATACAACACGTGCGAACGCAAAACCTGAACAGACCCGAGAGGAAGCCCGCGCCCTTGGGGGAACGTGGAAGACAAACACCCCGGGGAGAAAGACAACCCTGGCACGGAGTGCGGCTAAGCCGCCCCCCGGCACAGACGGGCGAAATATGAAAGAAAGAGGCGACGGACCGGCCACCCAGGCCGGCGCCAGATGAATGAAAACAACCTGGGGCACCTAGCCCGCTATCGAAAATCTTCTCCAGGGCGTACGGTCCTCAGACTCCTACTCTGCCTTGGCCTAACCAATGTGCCCTGGGAAGGCTTAGAAATCCTAGAGCTAAATCTAGCCAAGATCCCCCCACAAATGATAATTCGTGAGCTGGCTTGCTGGTGCCTTGACGAGTGCGAAATGGCATCGGACCAGCTTTCAATGCCTTGGCTGCAGAAACATGAGAGACCGGGAGACGGCAGGGAACTTGTGCACTGACAACTTGCTAGAAGTCCAAATGTCTCCACACCCAACATTTTGACGCGCTGCCCTCTTGATTGGGCAGTATGCCACTAATGCCATAGCGTAGCGCCTGCACACGATTTCTCGCAGATGTCAAGTATGACCCCAAGGAGCAAGGTTCTTTTCCGCCTGCACAGTGAGGAAGGAAAGGCTCAAACCAGCGACATCGTTCTCAGCTTCCTCGGTCTCCTGCAATTGTCAAGTTTGTCAACTGGTCTTAGTTCTCCACACTTTGTCAGGGCTACTATGGAGCGAACTTGCAGCTTGAGTTCTCAACGTCCTCAAACCTGTACTGGAGTCTGAGATTTCAGCGTTCTAGCGGGTTTCCACTCTCTGTTACTTGGGGGCAACTCACTTGCAGTGACTCAGTCCCAGCAGGGTTGATGGACTTGGGTTCAGATTGTGCCGGACTGCGACGCTTCTCCCTAAGTGTTTAACAAAAGGCGTGTTCGAGCCCTGGCGGTTTCTGGGCACCACATGTGCATTGCTGGCTGCGAAGGCACAATGCCATCCAGGCGACAATAGCTGAATTCTGCAAACTGTGACGAAACATTGCCTTTCAAAGAGCGTATCATGTAAGGCAGCATGCCGCATGCCTTATGTCAGTGGATAGCACACGGGGTGGTTCTCCAACATGTGGCCTGACATCCAGCTGCCAACGACGCGTTTTCTTGATGTCACTGCTGGTGTTCTCATCAAACGCGTCCTTCTGCAGGTCCCTGTAATTAAAAGCATCCCTGCAATATCGCAATGCATCAGCGGAATTTGATGTGAGCCCTGCTGTGAAAATGGACATGAAGAACCATGTGGACCATCCAGCCAAGGTCAGGCAAAGGGCAAAGCAGGCAAGGTCTGCTCTGATGACTTCGGACACTCACTTCTCGGCAACCTCTCACATCCTTGAGTTTACAGCTACTGCGCCCGGTTCTTGCAGCTCAGAAGAATGCTAACAGCAGGAGGAAAACACGCGCGAATGCATTAGCACAGCAGTGCAAATACATGATTAGTTGTCTGAACTGAACAAGTCTCCATCGCAGAGACAACATTTGACCAGAGACGTATGCAATACTCCAGAACCGTCAAGAAAAGGAGTAGAAAAGCATGTCACACAACCGCTACCATGCTATTATGGTCACCGCAGCCCAGTTCCCGTCAACAATATAGGAACTTGACGCAGACTATGAAGATGCCGCTGCGGCCACGGCATATTGATAAACCTCTGCGTAATGGCAAATCCCAGAACGTGACTACAACACGCTCCCCCCGCCCACCCCCGTCCGGCAATGCAAAATCCCATCCACTAACACGCAAAAATAAAGCGCCCCACATGAACGGGACATAATTAAGTCTTTGCCATGCCGACTCGGACATTCAGATGATACTTTCAATCCAAATGTGACAGGCCTCGAACTGCATCAAAACCCAGTCTGCGGATGACTCAGCAGCTTAGAGACGCAGGAGGGATTGCCGCAAATGTCTCGGACATTTTGAGGCGTACAACAAACTTCAAGTAGCTTGTTTTAGTGAGCGGACGTGACGCATTGCATGTTTTGGAGGGAGTTCACGCAACAGAGTGGGTGTTCCATTCATGCCACGGTGAAAAAAGAGGCTGTGTCAACCAGGCGCATGCTCACTTTCCAACCCTCACCTTTTCATCAGCGGACCAGCCAACATGAACGGGAACGACTGGCAAAGTTGTACGTCGTTGTGTGCAAACTCGGCATCCTCGTCCCACTTCATCTCATATTCGTCCTTTTCTCCATCATCCATATGTGAAATCTGCTCGCGGACAACGTCGAAGAAATGGTATCTGATAAGAGCATTTGGGACACGAAATGGAATCACGTTCACACACTGAAAAGCAATTCCAAACAGAATGGTAAAAGCAGCTGCTCAGTCAAGAACATGATAAGCAAGCCGAAGTAACCTCGACATAGATGGGTTACTGCCAAGGCTTGTGAACAAGCAGGCGCCCTCTGAGGATCTTGCCAACAGGGACGATCAGTAGCGCTTGCAAAGCTGAGCCGTTCAGGTACTCCTGAAGAGCAATACTCGTTAAGTCATGATTTCTTCAGTGCCAGATGTAGCTCGCAGCAGTCGTAGCAGCTGACTTACCACATAGAAGTCCGCCAAGGCCGGAGGCATCCACTGGTCGCTTGCGGTTTGCTGCTTGCCCAATAGCTCTCGCTTTCTGGGATGACCTCACCTCCCCCCCAAGGAGGACCCTGCACGCTCCTGGGTTAGACTCACTTAGACTTGTCAAATCTGCAGTATCTGCAGTTGCAGTAACTGCAGATGGCTTCCTGTGGCAGGTGGGCTTGGTGTCGCTCGGTGATTGCTGTGGGCTTCATGCATACCTCTTGTCACTGTCATGAGTGCAGCTGCTGCGCCCAAAGAGATGTCCTGCTGGATTGATCCCCACGCCTAGGCCGAATTGAGGCAATCAATCCTCAATCTCGGTCTTACGGACAATGACATGCACCGGGTGGTTTGAGGCTCCACGCGTTGATCGTCGCAAAGCCAGCAACGTGTGAAAACAACACGGACCTTGTATCAGGCAAAAAGCGATCCACATATTGTTGATTCCACGTGCCGCGCAACACGGAAGCAGTCTTCACCTCATGCACCCTGCCGGTAAAACGTGAGATGTCAGTTGACAAGGACGACTCTCAAAGGTCATGGCCAGCTCTTGACGTTCAGCTCAACCTTTTCCATGTTGTTCCTCAAAGATTGCAGTGCTCGATCCACGGGTGTGAGGTACGGCACAAGCAAGCCAGCATGCATCTGCAAATGCTTGTCATTGCTAAGGCTCTCGCTCGGCACCAAAGAACTCGCTCAGGGCACCGCTGGTGATCCTTGATTGCCAGTCTACAAGTCAGCGTGCACAGAATTCTGAAAGCATCCCATCAGAATTGGCACCGTTAACATCCGTTACGTGCACCGCCTGAACGTAAGCCGTTCGACCCGCAGAATTTTCCAGAGAACTCCAAAATCAAAGTTCAAGGCTGGCCCGGGCTGGCGCATGAAGGAAGATAAGGCAGAATTACCACGTATCGTTCCCCAGTCAAAAAAACATGTTTTGGACTGTTCAGGTCCACGGCATCTGGCCGAGTGAATTCTTCCGTCACAAGGCGCAAAAACGCAGACTGGCGAAAGATTTGGCACTTTTTTGCTGCAGGGGCCAGGATCAAGTGGAAGGTGAGGCCAAACTCCAAAAGCAGCTTTTGGCATCAGCTGGCCGTAGCGGCGCAGATCTGATCCAAAAACGCGGACTCTGGTGAAAGAATCACCATCATATAGTGTTGTGTCGGGGGCTAGCTTTGCTACACGGATTCTCCCGTAACTTGGTTCTCGCGGCCAGGAAGAATACACGGTGAAGCTGAGTGAGGGCCAGCACGGGAGAAGCGAAGATAGCTGAAGCTGCGGTATTGCTATGCTGTGGGAAGTCTTTCATCGGGCGCGTAGTGAATGAGAGCCGTTCATGCGGCCTCCCATCGGCTGGGCAGCCGGAAGCTGAATGGACAGCAAGGGTTCAGAAATGGACTGCAAGGAAAGGACTCTTCAAGAACAGACTCCAGACCACTGAGAGTGGACTGTAGGAGACGCATTGTTCAAGAATGGACCGCTGAGAGAATGAATGGACTCCTCGGTGATGGGGATTTTGCGTGTGAACTTCTGCCGCATGTGCTGCGAGGGTGGTGGCTGCACTGGCTGCATTCTGGCTGCAGCATTGGCCGAGCCATGCCCAGCCTGTCCTGACAAACCACTACGGCCAACGTGACTCGCAGTCTCAGCAACAGCGGTTGTGTTGCGGCCGTATTGTGGCAGAGCGCGCGAAGTCGTCCGCCAGCAGGGGCACATCGATGTCGCACATGACGCCCAAGAAAAGATACCACAGTATGGGTTGCAAAGATGAGTTCTTTCTACAAGGCAGCTGGCACATGCAGCTGCCTGGGAACTATAAGCTCAAACAAAACGTTGTGTCTGTCTACTGGTCTGAGTCTACAGGACATTGTCTTCTAAATAGTCGACTGGAGGCTGAGGGTGCGTTGCCCAGGCAGACACTGGCGGAGTTGCTGGAGTGCATGCGTGGTTAGTTTCTCGTGGCGGAGAGGAGCCCCTGATGAGAAACATGGACCGCTGATTATGAAATATTGTTTTTCCAAGTTCTTCTGTTTTCCCTCTCACGCGCGCCTGTTTGCTCTCCATTCTCAACGGTCCATTCTTGAACAATCCATTCTTGGCGGTCCATTCTCAAGTGTCAAGCCCATTCTCAACGGTCTATCCTCGAACAGGCAACTACTTTTGGCAGCCCATTCTTGACCAATCCACTTTCAGCAATCCCTTCTCAGCGGTCCATTCTCGAACAATCCATTTTCAGCAATCCATCTCTGGTCCATTGCCAACTCCTCCGTGCAATCATACTCCAATCGCTGAACGAAATCATAATTTTGCAGATTTCGATCAGATCATCCTCCATTACAAGTAAACAAATTGCAGGATGCGGCGCGGGTGACAACGCTACAGCTGACAGGACCACGTTAAGTTGCTTTGAGCAGCACTGTCAACACCACAAGGCCGGCTCGTGCACTACAGCCTATACAACCATGTACTACAACTCTAAGATACTTTAAGGGTATCCACTTGTAAGACTGCTCCACGCAGTATGACCAAGTGAAACATCAGAGGGCCAGCGGGAAGCTGGGGGGTCAAAGTGAATTAGGAGGCCGAGGAAGGATCATGCCGATGATGCATCAAGCAGCTTCACCACTGCAATGAGCATTCCACAAAGTGCAACTTTTCAGCAGAGAGTCGCCAAAACAATCTGCATGCAGGTGAGCCAGAAGAGCCTCAGGGGCTGTCGTGTCCAAGGAATGCAAAAGGTCGAAGTCTGATCTGGTTCTTAAAGCAGATGCAGCGCTCAAGCGGCCAAAGTGCATCTGACCCATGTCCACAGCGACCTCCATCGGAGGCGTACTGCCTGCCCAGCACCCCAATTCAAACACTGCGAACACTGCAGAAAGTAATCCAGCCCACTCCACATCACTGACACAAAGGGCTCAAAGTCGAAGGCCTTTGATGAAATGCTCCTCCAGTCTGCATCTTGTGAATCTAGTGTGCTCGACTGCCGAGCTTGCTTTGCACTGCCAACTGTGAAAATGAGATGACACGATCGAACTGCATAAGCGCTTTGGGTCCTCCACAAGACCATTACAGCCTTGGAACAGCAGAACCTGGCATGGGAGTCATCTTTTCAACGACCATTCTGGGTTGCTGTCTGAGGCGGCAGCAGCGCAGAAAATCGAAATTGTCTGGCTGATCACCTGAAGCACATTCCGCCTCATAGGCAGCAGCTCGGAGATCGGAGATGGAATCCTGAGCTGGACGCCTGCCACGAATATCGTTGAATGTCGCGATCGGGCCAGTTGACCAGGTAGAACATCAGCATCTGAAACCTCAACTAGCTCCTACATGCACACCCGCCCAACAACCTTGGCTGATCAGACGGGGCACCATCATGCTGCCATTGTTTGGCTTTGCGCGTTTCTGTTTGCTGCAGGTGCGGCAGGGCCCGAAGGACCAGTCGAGAAAAGACCACAAGTCATAAGATGTCATAAGTCATGGCAGGAGTTTAACCCTATGGGTCTCGCAGTTGCGCGCCAGGGGAAAGGGAGAGACCTCAGATTATTTTGGATTTTCATCGCAAGAGGTGGGCGAGGGGTGAATTTCAACACCTGGGGCCTCGCATGCAATGACCTTCGGCCTCAATGCACTTGGCGGCAAAAAAACAAGTCAACCGATCGCCCATGATCGTGGATGTTTTCCCAGGGCGTAGCGCGGTTCGTGTTCGGGTTCGGCCAAGGCTCGGTGTGGCGGAACCGGTTTCGTATGCCGCTTCAAGCTCTGTCTTTGGCTTTCCCCTTGGGCGAAGCCGTTTTGAGCGCGGGTTCAGGCTCGGGACGCTTCTGTTTCGGATTCTCTTTGCTAGCACCTTCCCAAATGATCCCAAATGGCTTTCGACTCTCAATCTGGAGGGGTTTGCAACTGGCGCCTCAACCCTGCATTTTTTGAAGAGTGGCCTCACTTCTGACACGGCTCGCGGATTGTCCATAATGAATGCTCAACAAATGCCACACTCCACCATCGTTAGCAAAATTTTGCAAACATACCACCCTTGGAATTGTTAAAGAGCGGCGTCACTTCCGACTCGACCCCGTATGAGTTCCGTAAGTCTTCACGCACCGCGGCTTTGTTCAAATTCTTCAGATTTCTTCAGTGGTTTGCAAACCGGAGCAGCTGCACCTCCCAACAACCCCACTCGCTTTAAAGAATCGTGTCATGTCCCGCATGACCCCATGTCATGACTTCCAATGATTCTTCAAGCACTGCCTGATTCTCCGATTGTGTTCAAATGGTGCGGCTGCGCCCCCCCTTCCTTTCCCGCCTGATCCCGCCTGCCTATCTGGGGCACATACAACCATGACCTGAGCTTCCTCCTATCATGGTTCACGTTCTGAGCTTCCTGCTCAAATGCGCAAACGCAAAAGACTCAGGGGCAAACTCAGGGTGAACTTGACATGTCATGACCTCCGGATACCTCCGGTTACTGCATGTTACTCCTCTGATTTCTCAGCTAATTACCAAAAAGGGGAGGGGAATGGTGAAAGGTTTTGTTCGGATTCGGGACAACAATATCTGGAAGAGGGGCAGCTTTTGGGTTTGAGCTCGGGATTGCACGAAGGGGAGGTTCGGGTTGGGCTGCGGACCTGAGTTGCGAGCGTCGGATAGCGTCGGGTTCGGATTAGCTCCAGCTGGCTCCGATTTGGGTTCAATAGTTGATTATTTGCTCCGGGGGAGGCTCGGCCTCGGCCTCGGTCACGAGTAGGGCTCCTAATTTTATCAGAATCGGTGCGGACTCCACATGTAGGTGCCTAACTGCATTCTGCGAAGTCGTTCATAAGGTGGGATTTGGCGTGTGGTGGGTACTGCATCTGCACCGAGCAGCAGGTCCGCTGGGCCGCATGTTGGTAAGATCTTGCCTGTGACCTCGTCGGCCGTCTCTGCTTCACTCTTCAGGGACTTGGCCAATACTTTTTGCTCCTACTGTCGGGGCTCGTACCGTGAAGCTGTGAAATCACATAGCGTTTGTTTGTCCAGTGCGATTTCAACATATCGCACTTGCGTTCTGCAGTTTCCGCGAAAGCAAAGCTGCACTCTCGTTTGTAGGTCTTTGCCTCGCCGACAGCTGGTCTAGAGTTTAGATGAAGTCTTGTCAGCTGAAGCTGTTAGACTGATCTGGCCACTGCCGCTTGCCTCAACACGCGGCAGTTTCAATGTCAAAATGACAGACGATGTTCTCTTCGTGTCTCTTCTTTGGGAGATGATAAGAAAACTCAACTGCTGAGGACGCTTAAGTTCAAGCTCTCAAGATAGAAGTGGATGCAGGTGGCACACATGCCAACGAAGACATCCCATCTCGGGCCAGCGCCCGATGCTGCCCATCAGCATGACCTGGACTCAACGAATGCCGAATTCGCAAAATGCACGGATACAGGAGCGAATGCACCGAGTGGTACGTCTGGGAAGTGCTAGATCCAGCTTCACAGGTATAGCTTTTCTATCGTTTCTGCAGGGAGACTGATCACACTTCCAGGCAAGCCTGCTGTGTTGCTTGCAGCCTAGATCCTGTTGTATTTTGCTCAATGGTCTGGCTGTGCGGCTCACCAGAACAGCCCAGGACTTAGCACCACACCGAGATTGCGATCGCTACTGGGCTCGACTCTTCCTCCTGCCGCCACGTGATAGCAGTCTGGAGGCAGATGCACGTGAATGTCCTCTGCCATTGCGGGCACGACAGCCGCAAGGCCAAGAAGCACCTGAATCTGACCATTACGACTTGTCTTGATTACATTAACAACCGCCCATCTTACGTTTACATTGTTTACATGCAGGGAGGCCCCAGCGGGTCAGCGTATGCCAATATTCCGCAAAAACAAATGAAGACAGTTGGCTTGGCTGCTGCACGACACTAGAAAAAAACACAACACCACAATCACCACTACGTGCTGCTTCTGCTTAGAGTTGAGAACAGACATGTTTTCAAGCATGGCAGTGGCATGGTCGGGTACGGCCCGTTGCATCAATCAGCATCTCACTCTGACATGATGCAACTATCTTGCAAGCCATGGTGCTCTCAAACGGTGCCATGGCATCGCAGCGAAAGCTATGACAAATACGTTTGCGTTGTAGCTCGTGAGGGCTTGCTGCCGGGCTGGTTGATCAGTGAAATTCATTTTCATGGCTGCCTGATTCAAGAACAACATCAAACAACAGGGTTCAAACTTGGAGTTGTATTTCATGCTTTCGCTGCCGAGGTCAGGCCCACTTCTCTGTCTTCATTGCGCGCAGGTGCTGAGGACTGTCATGGGCCGTCACATGAAGCACAAGAAGGCAAGGATTAAATTTTCTCGCGGTCGGAAGACCCGCATCAAATGCTGAAAGCTGGCACTTGACAGCTGCAGCTGGGAACGACAAGTCTGCAGGATCTCAACTCACGCCCTTCAAATGATACTACCTTTCCATTTCCCACCAACGCAATCCTGAAGACGCAACTTGGGAACAAAGTAAACGCAGAGAGATTGCCCTGCTGATTCAAAAGATTCGCACACGACACGCGTTTTGCAGCATCTCACAGCTACAAAACCTGTCTTTTGAAGCACCGTTTGAAGACAGAGGCACCAAGGCATGCGATGGCATGCGATGGCGTTTGCACATGTTGCGCAGCCAATAAGATCGGCTCTACAGTGTTTTTACATTTCACCCATCGGCTTGCCAGAACGAACGACAGTAGCCCTGCAAATTGCGTACAGCATGATTGCAGCATGCATTTGAACATAGGAACACTCAAGCATTTAAGAATTTGTCGTGGCAGTCCTTTCAATCATGACAGGGTCGACAAGCAGCGATTAAACTTGCATAGTACCCGGTGGAACCAGCAACAGGTCCACCGTGAATTCACAGCAGGCATGCTAGGTGCCTCGAACCTAGCTGCCGGTGTCAGGCGTCTTGCCGCGCTTGATAGCGCGGGCACTTGTGCCCAAACTCTTCTTGGCTTCGGCCTCAATCGAAATCCATGGTTTCCAACTGTTTCCAGCTAAAACAGCGATTGATGTTTCTGGGTTTGCGGAGAGCTGCGATTTCTCCCGCTTGTTGAATGATGTGTGTGCATGCCAATTTGCTTGCCTCTAAGCCTTGTCACATTGTCACAAGGTTTTTTGAACGCTTGGAGGCCTGCAGAGGCCCCTGAAGCGTTTGAGTCTCAAGGCTTTGTCTTGCAACATTTCAATGGCTGTATGCTGGAATTTTGCGGCTGCAAGCAGTGTTAATTGTTCGCAGAACCTTTACAACAAACTGACTCTTGAAATCACGTATCGAAATGCACCGCAATCTAAGGTAAACAGCAACAGCTTGTTACACAACGGCGAGCATGGCCTTTGATGGCCTTTGCGACGGCAAAAGAGGTCAAAGAAGAGTTGCGGAAGGATGTGGAAAGCGCCTACTAGGCATTCCGAGAACTGATCGAAGATCTGGAGAAGTCCGCAGCATGCTGCAGTGAGCGAGCGGGGCATTAGGTTTGATCGATACTGCACAGCAGAACTCCGAACGGCTGCGCCACACATGCTGAGGCCCGAAATGCTGGGGGCAACAATCTGAGCTGTTCCTTTTTCTGGATTCAGAGCTGCTCTCCGTGCAGATGCACACTCAAACAACCAATTATGAGTGAGATCTGCACTACCTGCCAACCCTCAAGCTTAAGGCTGTGTTTTCATGTCGTTTCCGGTCGCGCTTATCCCAGGAAAGCATCATGGGCCGGCGTGTACTCAAATAGCCCGCTGCCAGCCTGCGCACATAAGGATGACGAAGCTTGACCACCACGTGATAATGCATGATAAATCTGTCGAGGGTCTGGCCCGCTTGGTGAACATGAGGAGAAACATGATCCCTATAATGACCCTAATGGCTTACGCTGCAATTGCAACGTACCCCGCAAATCCCCGCAGTGCGTATGCGTTCGCAGCGAGTTCGATTGGTTCAGATTGTGCTGGCGGCACCAAAAGCAAGGTCCCCATGCACAGTGGCTAAGCTCCGGGCCGACAGGTATGGGATGCCATCTGGAATGGACCCCAATAACGTGCAGCAAAGGGAGTATATCGTGCATGCTGAGAGCAGCAGAAGCACTACCTGAGGCTTTACGGTTTAAACATCTTTCGACATTCAAGCATATTCAAGCTCCGTTGCAGATTCTTTGTGCTAACAAAGTAGTTGTTCGCAAGAAAGACCAGATGCTTGGCTGCACGGCATTAGCGGAGGCTCTGCAGCTGCCGGCACATAAAGAGCATCTTCGCAGACCAGGAACATCATCCTCACAGATCAGTCTCGTCTATTCGCAGGAAGCTGCTAAGACCCCACAAGAGCGGTGGTTTCTATTCTTGAAATTTGCATGACACCAAAGTCCCCTCTGCGAAATCCTTCCGCAAACCCTTCCACGGCCCAAAGCGTCCTCAATTTTTAAACATCTTGCAAACTGTTGCTTCCACGAACCTTGCGAAGCTTTTCGCTTCCGTGAAGTAACTTTCACTCATGGAATACTTTAGGATGAGGATGTCAGAACTTCCGTCGTTCTCTTGAGACATCAAGGCAACAAGCTACTGGCATTTTCTGCTAATAGTCTGTTGCAGTCGCAATGCTTCACGTGGTCCATGGGCTTGAAAATTGCACCCTCATATTCGCAGTCTTCTGAGACATCTGCTGTTATGGATTGATTCATATTCTCACTTCGCGTGCACCTTCCACGACCCTTCCACAAAGCTATCCCCGTCCACGAATCTTCCGCGTCCTTCCGCGGCCACAGTTCGGCGCACATTTTTGGGATTGATCAAGTTGTGTCGCCAACACAGTATCGCAAGACTACCCGCAAAAAAAATGCCGCGCACATGATTGCCAAGAACCTAAGGCGACTGAATTTCGAATTTTGTGCTTGCCAAGCGACCATCGCATGCAGGAAGACGCGTGGAAAACGATACACGTCGACAAATCCAGAAGGAAGGCCTTCAAAAGGATTTCCAAGACTGCCGCTCTAATCCACCAGTGCCACTCGACTGCCTCTCTACTCACGCAGAGCTCGTGCATATGACTGTAAGAACCAGTTTCCTGGTTCAGATTGAACCGCAGAAGCTCTGGCAAATGGCGTCGCCTAAGTCCGATTCTCGCCAGTTGCACTTTCTGCATGTTGCATGTCTTGCTATGATGGGTTACTGAAACAGGGGCGTATAATGTCGAAGAGAACCCCTCCTGCAAGCTCGACTTCCTAGCTTGCCAGGCCACACTGCAAGCGTGGGCATTGCGAAAAGCAGGAACGGTTGGCCCAAATCGAGCAGTTGCTGAAACTCCTGTCAGCATCCATGACCCACGTATACCCACCCTATTGCGTTTCAACACTGCCCAAGAGCGCCCAAGCCTGCGGCACTTGCCCGACAGCCAGAGTCAATGCCTTCAGCGCCCGATACCATGATCGCAATGCTGTCACATGATCACCAATCTCCATCCATCTCGGAAGTGCGCTAAGTCTGGAACAAGGTAATGGCTGGGCCAGTGCTCTGACAAGATCCCAGGACCGAAGAAGCGACAACCATCGACCAGGGGAAGCAAATACGGCAACCTGCGTGGCCACAGCAGCGATTCACCCTGTGCAGCATGGCTTCAATTTGTGAACCATTGCGGAATCTCCCTGCAAAACCGCTTGCGAACTTTACGAGAATATAGAAAAAGAAGCACCTTGTTCCTAGGAAGGCATCCGACAATAGCCTATGAAACGCACAACTACGAACAGGCAGCAGGCACATTTGCCTTGTCTGAGCATTCTTACAGTCAAGCTTTCCCCTTCCAAAGGCAACTGCGATTTTTTTTGCAGCAAGGAGACATGGAAAGAAGCCGGAGAGGCACAGGAACCTTCTGATTCTGACTTTGGAGACTCCAGAGTGTGGATAGGCGTTCCTTCTGCGAGTGCCTGCAAGGAGGTGCGTTGGGAGATGACATCAAAGCCAGGAGGCCAAAAGGCCTGGCAACCGCAGCTGTTGGTCTCTCGGGCGTTGGAAGAGGTCTCCCGGAAGACACTTCAGCCTGAGTCCAATTTGCAAAGTGAGGAATTTCTGTGAGAAGAGCAGATTTGACTCATTTTCTTCGGAGGAGTGAAGTGTCCCCAATTAGAATCAATCAGCCGTCATGGAAGCCGGAATACGTCTGCGCTAACTCAAAGTGTTCTACCCATCTTGTCAGGACCTAGGATGCAGCTGATGGAAAGGCAGGAAGCAAAGCATCCGGAAATACACAGAATGTATGGACCCCAAAGCTAAAAGCTCACATTGGAAAGAGGGTTCGCTGTCCAAACAAAGGCTCTGAAGATATCTGTTGATGGGGTGATATGGGGTGCAATACTTGAAGGGCAAGTTAGCCGCTTCCAGTGCAATCGAACACCGCAGGGCTCTCCCAAAGAGGCTTTGCGGTCCTAAGAGGGACATCCAATAGGTTCGATGAATCCTTTCATCATCTCAACAAACTCCTCAAAGATTCCGCGAACCTCATGACCCAATCCCCGCCCAAGCCAGTGCCCTGTCTTGAAATATGCTGTGCAATGGCGTGACCTGCACTGCGGGGTCATGACATGGTACCGCGGCTTTAACAAAATCGGATAGTGCTGGTGGAATATGCCACACGGCGGTCATGGGGCTGGTTTTATGAACGCATGATTGATAACCATCTCACGAAAAAATCAGCGCGCATCCCGCATGGGACCCAAGCAGCCGGGTAGGGGAAGATCTTCGCCTGGGGCTCTGCGGCCAGGTCACCTGAACTCCTACGTTGACTTAGTGCTGTCATCATTAGCCCGCAGCTGCAGCCAGCGTGCGGTTCCTAATAATTGAACCCGGCTGCGAATGACAAGCTCAAGCATCTGGATGGCTTTCCTCGCCTCTACCTGCCACAAGAAACATGGCCAGAGTATGGCAGTGGGAGCAAAGCCAAGCTGGTTCTGCATTTTCAGGCCTGTTCGTGCTCCAGCTCAGCGGCCTCCTTTCGAAGTTGTTGAGCCTGTGCTCTCCTGGAAGAAACGTCGCAAATTCGGGCAGCTCCTACTCGTAGCTGTCGTAGCTGCTGCCTGCTGCTACTGCTGATGAACCTCCACACCTGCTTCTACGCAGCCGAGTCACAGCATCTCTTCCTCATCCAGGACGCCTCCAGAATTCGATCCTCACACTTCTTGCTTTTGGCTGCACATGTCATGTTGGGCCTGGGTAGCCTCGGCAGGCTCTGCGCCGCTGAGAGAGCCAAGTGGATGCCGCGTGGGCCGCGCATGCTGCGAGCGTGACCTTCTTGGATTCCAGCTGACCTTCTCACGCGGACTTGTTCACTCTGGGCTCCCAACTCGAGGAAACCTTGCCGCTCCAAATGCACACGCCGACGGCCTGACATGTGGTTGAACATGACCATCTGAATGGCCAGCTACAGTAGGCCATTTGCGCCAGACATGGGCACAACGCAGAGTTCTCAGTCTTGCACCAGCTAGGTCGGCCGAGCGTCGAGGAGCCACGAGTGTCCCGAACTGCTTCTTGGGATTGACGGGCCCTAGCGCCTTCGACCCTGCAAGGGAGACCCTCAATACCTCTGGTCACGTGCTTGACACCAAACTTAAGGAGCCCCCAGTCATGCCAAGTCCGGCCTGCCCAAAGTTGCAGAAACACAGGGAGATTGAAGCCTCTCCATGGCTGTCGCCCCTGCGCATCACCAGCGGCTAGGTGCCCGAACTGCAGCCATTGACAGAAGATTTGTCCAAGTTTACAGTATCTCATGTCATAATGGTTCATCAGAGGTTGTGGCGTGGCAAGTGCTGCAAGCCATAGCTCACAGGATCTAACAGGTTTGCACAGCGATAGGCCTTCAAAGATCATTGCAGCCTGGTCATCTGATGACCCTGAACTTCGTCTAAACCAGTCCAACTCTCAAACTGTTTTGACGCCATTTTCCGGGGGCTAATGCCATGGTGGCATGTGCAATGGCGGCCACAGCAGCCGCTCTCACACTCCATCTTCGTGAGCTTTCTGGCAAAGCCCTGGCAAGCAACGTCACTGCATCCGGTGAACAACGCATAAATCACATGCGAACTTTGAAGCGCTTTGTCAATGAAGCTCAATTGACGCTGCGTGACGCCCATGCCTTGCCCAATCAGCATCGCTGGCAGAAAGTCTGACCAGATCGCCTGTCTGCAGCACGATCCCATGCTGACATTTGAAGTCAAGGCGTGTCTGACGTGCACAGGCTTCTTCGTCGCTCATACAGATACATCTCATACTTGAACAAGTTGGCTTTTTGATCACGGGTTGCAGCAGCCCTCGTCTTCATACTCAGTGTAATAGCTGTAGTAGCTATACTCAGCATCATTATCTGGCACATCTCTGGCACATCGTGCATCAGGCAGTGGTTGTCGGAACGTTCGAGTCATCTCTCGACCGCTTTGGGCATTCCGGTCTTGCCATCCATTCAGTCCGCGCACGCGCGGGAGCTCGCTGGTCTTCGGATTGGTGGCTGCTCGCCGAGGGCGTGGTTCACCATATCGGTGATCAGGCCGCCGCACTGTCTGCCGAGGTGACGGCGAGTGCAGAACCTGCCTTCGTCGTGAGCGAGGCGTCAGCAAAGCTCGTGGTGAGCTGGATGCTTGCCGCTTCCGGCGCCCGTCTCTTGGAGCGCTTCGAAGGCACAGGCGACCCGCTTCGTGATGCCGAGCTGGCGCTCTTTTGCGAACACTCCGGCTTCGGGAGTCCTTTGACTCGCTCCTGTTCCGGCGGGGAGGTGGAGGGGCCCGGGCCCTCCTTCGCGAATCTCTCCTTCCGCGACGCTGACCCCAACTCTCCTGATGGCCTCGTCCTCTCCCTTTGGGAG